GCCTTTACAATGTTTTGATCTTGAAGTTGGCTTTTTTGGTCATGATTTTATGTTTATTGAGTTACTGCATCTCTGAAAACCTTTGGCTTTACCTTTGAGCAGTCTTGCTGTCTCACTGCTTGACCATATTACCATATTATATGTCAGTTACATTCAACCCTGCCAAAGCTACTGGGTTTCAACTTCCATTTTGAGAGTTCTTTTCTTCATTCAAAAGATAAGAGAAAGAATTAATATGATTTGTTTTTGTTATTGTTAGTTGCTATGTCAAAGTTCTTATTTTTTCATCATTTTGACACCCATAGATACACATAATTTTTGGATTTTGTTGGACTCTATTCATGTTGCATTTACATTGACTGTAATTAAGCTTAAAGCTGCACTTGTTATCTTTTCTGGTAGGGGATCTGCCACGAGCTTGTTTCCATGGACATATTATTTCTTTGCCTGAAGGGTTGCACAGTATGGCATTAAACTCAGATGGTGATAGATAGATGATTACATTGACAGTACACTTTATCAGGGATGATTACATAATTAAGTATCGTATAATTACAGCAGACGATGGTACAGTGATAATCCAATTGTATATACAATTTTGGAGTTACAAGAACTCTCTTTTAGTCCTTGTCATCATATTATTAAATGGTCCCCTTTTTTAAAAATCTATGTTATAATGGTGTTTACTTACTAAAAACATACCTTGAGTTCTGTTTTGTTCTGTTTTGTTTCATTTGTTTTCATTTTTTTCAATTGAAAATACTCTGTTCCACCTAATGTCATCTGGTATTAAAAGTAAAAGGTAGCTGTTAATTTGAAGACTACCACATCATGATATCACAAGGTGAGATGAAGCAATTTGAGCTTTGGTATTAAAAGGGTTACTTAAACATGTGTGAATGAAACAAAACACGACTATATTTATAAAAAGGTAACAGCATTCTAACATGACTTAAAGCTCACTAGAGTCAATTTTGTATAATATAGGAGCTTTAGCATCAGCATCAATAATTAGAAAATCTGAATATCTTTACCATTTATCTCCCATCTCTTGACAGATTTCCAGCTAATAGCAGAGAACAAAACGCCGTCTCTCTTTAGCAGGCCTCTGAGCAGACACTTGTCATTTTCATTTCATGCATTACACGGCGGGGTCTGTGCTCCTTCTCCGCTCCTGTGACACGTCTAATAAATCTGCTCCGTTCTCTTTAGGTCAGGCACTCCATCATGGACCAAAGCAGGAGGACATATTCTGAGCGAGACGTGTCCCCCCGACTGTCCACCAGGCTGTCCTCCGCGGGCTGTGTCCTTGTCTGCAGTGTCATTCCACCATGGGACAGATGTGATGGGATTGCTAATGTATGTGTGTCTGCTGTCTACAATCCTGTTAAAGTAAAAGCTGTTTACCTAATATACTTATGAATGCATTAGTTTGATAGGAAAAGAGAAGGATATGGGAGTCTGATCTGAACAAGGTACCATTGCTTTTCTTGCTTTTTGATTGCATTTGGATGGATAAGGAAACGTAACGTAACCAGATTCTGCAGCTTTTCAGAAAAGTTAATAATAAAATGTGAAAATATCAGTGGTTAAAGAGCCTTTATTACACTGTTTTCTGATCTGTTATGTTGTTTCCTTACCAAAAACATACCTGGAGTTTTGTTTCATTCACACATGTTTAACACACAAACCCTGCGTGTTTAGGTTTTTCACTCAAACAGAAATACTCTTTTCCATCTTGTGATGCCATGTGGTAATACACGAAGTGCACTACTGTCTTTTAAAACTCCACATACTAGAATCATTTGGATAATTTCAGCCTTGGAATTGTCAATCTCTACTGATCTAAAGGTAAAAGGAGCTGTTAAAAGTCGAAAACTACCACTACATCATAAGGTAGAACAGAAAATTTTGAGTTTTTGAGAATTACACCAACAAGTGCGAATTAAACAAAATACAACTCCAGTCATTTTTTGATGAGGTAACAACATTATAACAAAGCTTAAAGCACTCAAGAGTCAATTTTGTACACTGGGTCGTGATCCTCAGGTGTTTTGCAAGAGATTTTTTTTTGGTCACCTTGTCACGATCTGCATGTAGTTCTGGAATATACAGGGCTTATTTAATGTCCAAATAGGTGACTTATGGATATCATTATTGCTGGTTCAATTACTGTTTTTCATAGTTTAAAACTTTAATAATACTAATTGTTCAGAGAGACACGATCACTCAGTCAACAATAAAATATCCTCATTAATGTTCAATGATGCTCAAATCCACCTTTATTTTGTGATTTATGAATAATGTCTATTGACTTGGGTTGCAAAGATTTGTGGCTTTTAAAATATGGGTCCCCAGAAAAAGTTTGGGAAACACTGCAATAGAAGACTTTACTATTCTAGTAGGGTATGCCACTTGCTTGTATCCTTGGAGGAACTGAATATTCTACAGTATGGCATTACTGATCTCCATGGAGACGAGCAAGTGGGAGACCTTCCACAGGAAATGTTACATCTTGCACATTTTTAATTTTAATGTTTGTGACTGTCTTTCAGGGCAACAACTGAGATGTAATTGTCCATATTGTTAATATTTTACATCATTGCAATTATCTCACTGTTGGGATTTTGCTAATGTAATTCTAATGGCAGCAATTAGAGGCAATGGTTGATCAGAGCCAACAAACCCCTTTTATACTCTTATACTGTATAGTTCACATTTCACATTGACCAAAATAATAATCATAAAACATTAAAAATATATATAATTAACATGGATATTAAACTAATGTGATGCCATAACCTTCTAACAATTCAAATTTGAGATGTTGCTTTTCATTTTTAAAAAGTATTGTGTATCATATTTGCGAAAGTAATCCCTCATTCACACAGTGGTCCATGGTAGAAAGATGACATTTGACCTTTTTGTAAATCACTGGTAACAACATCATATTTCCATTTTTCATTTAATACATTTTGTTAGATCTTCATGTTACAGTTAATCCTCCATAAATATACAGTTTTCACTTGGTGATCAAAATAGAACAGACTAGAGTCATGTCTTATTAAAAGTGATAGTGTTTAAGCTACAGCTCTGAGGCCTGATCTCCATAGACACTACCAGACGCTAGAAACAGCACAGACATATGATACAAGCTCATCACAGCAGCAGTGTACTGTTACAGAGTGCACACCTCATGTTTGTATGCTCACTGGTGTTTCTATGTACAGGCGAAATGTGTGTAACAATCTGTGTGACATGAGACTCTGTTTGGTCCTGGATTGAGTCCATGATGTGGACTTGGTTTGGTCCTGTTTTAGTCCTTGTTTAGACCTGGTTTAGTCCTGGTTTTGTTTCAGGTTTAGTTCTGGTTTAGTCTTGTTGTGGTGTATGCGCAAGTGTGAACGCACCCGAACCATGGGCCTCCTTGGTGTGGCTCTCTTTTGATCTGAGACAGGACTTAGATACAGTGATAAAGAAGACATATTATGCTTTTGTCTGCTATACAGTCATTATGTACGACACCCATTGATCATTGTATTATAGTTTGAACATGACTTCATATTGACTGAAAAATAAGATTATTCTTTTTTCATTTGTGCCTAAATGGCTTCTTGAGGCTGCGTATCACCCTTTAATAAAAAATAAATAAATAAAATAATTGAGAACAAAGTTAGTGAAGCGCAGCACGGATGGATTAGCCAGGATAGCGCCACCTAGTGCCTCCACTCAATTTAATTTCTCTCCAGCGACTAGGTCAGGAATTGGAATACACTAGACGGTTTCAAGTTCAGGCCAGCCAATCAGTGAAGAGTCATACATTCTGTGTTGACAACGATTCCCAAGATCGACGATTTAAAGCCGAAACAAAGAGAATGTTTGGTGAATTTTATCAAGGGGAAAGATGTTATTGTCCTTCTTCTTTCGGAATTTAGGAAAAGCTTAAAATACCAGTTAGCCCTGTTAGCGGAGCATTACATATGTCACAATGAAATAGTAGAGATTGGTTAAATTAAAAAAGTGCCTGCCTACTGTTGAGTGAACGAATCCTAACACTGTGAAGTCAGACGGTTTCTACGAAGTAAAACTGGCTAATGAGGCTAGGGATGGACAGGAGGTCAAGGGAAAACTGGATTTTTTGCAAATGCGTCTTGAATGTAGGAGAATAAAGATCACAGAACCACTCACCTATTCACACACACACACAAAACATTTTTCTGTAGCGCTATTCTACCTGCAAGGCACTCAAAGCACTTTACAACAATGCGACTCACCCATTCACACACTGGTGTACGCAAACGCTGGGGGCAAGGGGGGTTAAATGTCTTGTCCACGGACGCAACAACAGCATTCATCTGTGGGAGCTGGAATCACACAGATGTCAAGAGTGGGATTCAAACCATCAACCTTCGGAAGAGGAATTTTGTATAATATGTCTCCTTTAAGCTTTTGGGAAAACTTTACACAGGCCTAAATGGTCAGAAAACTGCATGATAATGTCAAGTCCACAAAGTATGTCATTACAATATCGAAACAGTCCTAACAGTTGAAACAAGTACTCCTATTTGTGTTGGTGTTTTGTTCTGTGAAGATATTTTAAACTAAACTTTTCCCAGGACTTGATCGAAGCAACATCAGTAAAATAAACCTACTTTTCTTTAACATGATCCACTGAGCAGCATTTTGTTTTACTTATAATTTTGATCCAAAGTGGTGCTTAGACACACACAGCACAAGAAGCAGAAGATAGTCCACGATGCCATCCATTTGAATGTATTTATATCCAGAATGACACAGTATTGAAGTCCATCCAGGCTTCTCAACACGTAATCACAGTCTAGTTTGCTGTAGTCTGTTCAGCCATTTTGTCAACATGAGCAAAGCACAGTCACCAAAAGTCCCTTGGTTTTTACAGTCTGGTAAATCATGTCCACACTCGAGTCAGGACCAGCAATCAAAACAAAATTATTTCTTTCAGTTCTTGGGAAACTCTCTGGATTCTACCAAAGTCTGAATTCTTCATAAAGCTTCACTGATGATGAGAAAGAAAAGAGAATGGCCAGGAGGAGAGTGACTGGATGTGAAGTCAGAGGTCCACGTGAGCCACTGCGAGCTATGGCATTTGAGCTGGATTCATCGAGAGGGTGGTTCTGTGCATGAAACACAACAAAAAATGACATTAAAACACAAAGACGCATTATACTTTGCAAATGTTCATTGTTAAACTTACCTCACAAAGAGAAGTGTCCACGGAGAGATTAGACACCAGTTTCTGAGCCTGCGAAATCAGAAATATTTGATTAGACAAAAGACACATTTGACAGTACACACATTATTACTGGATTTATATGGTTTTTACCTTGACCTACATTCATTTCCTGCAGATGGATCCAAACTTTAAAGGTGCACTATGTGACTTTGTTACACTTACACATCTCTATGGAGACTAACCAAATTACAGGTCAGAACTGTGAAGAGGTCACCCTGCACACAATAAAAGTGCAATACCCTCCACCAGAAAAGTTATAGTGCACCTTAAACCATAATTACTACTTAGCTAACTGGCTGAAAGTACATTTTTCATTTATTTTCCCCATAGACTTTTAGAAAATTTCAAATATTAAAAGTTCAAAGGCATCACAGAGGGTAAACAGCTAACTAATATGTATAATGCAATTTTAAATACAACAAGCACATTTAAAGCACAAGATTCTGTGAAATAATAATAAAGTTTAATAATATAAGAAAAATAATAAGAAAATCTATGGGAAAAATGAATGAGAAATGTACTTCTGGAACTAAGGAGTGGGGACAGTCACTGTTGAGCTCCATTTAACTTTAACTTTAACCTCTTTTAATCAATATCTGAACTTTAAAGCATATTCTTGATCTAATAATAAAGACTGTACTTAATGGGGAGGTGATTTTGTCCTCATAAGTGAGTGTGTCAAGAGTGTGTGTAAAGTTTTTCGTCCCCACACTCTGATAAACACCCACCCATGTCGAAGTATACTTTTAATACTTTTGCACTATCCCAAGTTTAGTTAGAACTTTTTGATATTCTTTCTTCCTCCGCTTTCTTCACTCCCCACGGGGCAGATAGGACTTTGTTAGTGGTTTGTTGGCAATGGCCGCAGTTTAAGCTCGTGACAGTTCAATGCATTAAAAAGTTTCTCTCACTATTATATTCACATATCTACAAGAGTCGAAACCACCAGGCCCTCCTACAGATGCAGAGATGGACTCTGGCGAATGATAAAGTGACTCTGGGAACACAATAAACACCAGGCGTAGTGTGTTTTAAGTGGAGAGAATCGTAAAGAGAAGAATGATTAATTGCCTCATAGGAGGTCTTTTTCTCTGGTCTGTTTTTCTGTTATATTTTTTCAGTGATAAATCGTATTATCACTATTAAAAGCCAATATGATCGAGTGTGGAAGTAAGGCATGTGATATGATCTCATTTAAAAATATATAGCTCCGTGTACTGTGGGATTATCAGGACTGAGCGGAGGTCTGAGCCAGAGATGGGGAAGTAGAAAAGTCATAAGAAGGCCACGGGCAAATTATGCTCAAAGAGAAAACTATAGTGTTAATTTAAATGTAAAGTAGTTTGATTCCAGTTGCTGAGTTTGTAGCAATCCATTTGTGTAGATACATTTGCTTGAGAAAGTTATTTTAGAATGTTTTATCCTGCTTTTATCCTGCTTTATGTTATTTTGAAGTAAAAAATGCAATGTTTTGTAGCAGGGATGTCCAAGCGTTTTCATCAAGGGTCACAATCAAAACACAAACAAATCAAGGGCCATAGACTGGTGGTCAATACAGTGAACAATTTAAAACAGATTAGAATGAGTCACCAAACTTGTATATGCTTAGATCCTCACCAGGACACACCAAATATTTGATGTTGGGTTTATCAAAGTAGATTTTCAAAAACTGGCAGTAAAAATACCACTTAAGGCAAGGGTCTCCAACCTGTAGCTCGAGAACTACCAGTAGCTCTCCACTCCCTTTCAAGGGGATTTCTGAATTATGCGTATTGCCCTGAATACTCAAATCTGATTAATTAAATGTCTATTATTAATCTATCATTTTGATGCCTGATTTTGTGCACTCATAAATTAATATTATCTTATGTTTATCTAACTGTACCCCATCTAAGTCTTGTCATGGGTTTTATCTATTCTTTATTTCCTGCAACTGTTAAAATTAGGAATTTTCATTTTGTAAAAGTAGCTCAACCTAGGAAAAAGGTTGGAGACTCCTAGCTTAAGGTATTATAGGCAAATCCACCTAGAAGTCTGAGCACTGAGAAAAATAATGCCTGATCGTACCCATACTAGTACGTCGCAGCATTTTATTGTTTTTTTTTTCTTTCTTTCAAATTATTAATTAAAAGGTGCACTATGTAATTTTTCTACCATCTGCTTGTCTTAGAGATATAATTGTCTTTCAATATCTTTCATGGTAAGACATTGAACATACCCATTTTGCCTTTAATCAATAGCACATGTTTTTATTACTCAAAAAGATCTTGAAAGACCTACATTCTTACTGTGAGTGGGATCGCCACTCCTCAGATCTGGCCTGTAACTCGGCCTGGAGGCATCACCTTCTTGTGTACATGGATTAAATGCCATAACATCTCAGTGGAGTGGGGATGTAACAATAACATGATTTAATATCATCAAAGTTCTCACAATAATATCATGGACCATCACAATATATCGAATTACAAGTCTCTTTGCTTAAATTAAGAGTTATGGTGCAGCAATAGCTAAAAAAAGACAGAGGGAACGACATAGACCATGATCCTTTGCTCCATTTCAGTGCAGACTACAAGAAGAAATAGCAGTTCTAAGCACTTTTAAGTCTTAGTTCTTTGGATTAAGTCTTGTCAAGGCATTTTACAAGGAAAAAGTAACATATTAGCCTCCTAATAAATATAAATATAATATCGTGAAAATATCGTACCGAGAGATTTGGATATTGTTACATCCCTAATCGTGAGCCTCCCCACCATATCGTGAGCTTTCCCATGATATCGCAATAAATATTGTACTGTGAGGTTCATACCCTGACAATATCATATTGTGAGACTTGGATATCGTTACACCCCTACAGTGGAGACAAGCAGGTAGCGTAACCTCCACCAGAAAAATTACATGGTGCAGCTTTAAGTTATTTGGATGAAAAAATGATCTTACATTTGTGGCTACTTAGCCCAGCTCTGTTAGTGAACTTTATAAATATTCTGAAACACAGACACATAAATCCCCATTATCACCATGGGACACTGGCGAGGTTACCATAGCGACAATTAGCTTTGACGTGACAGATATGGAAAGGCTCTCTTCTCACTGTGGGCTCGTCTTTCTGCCCAGGAGCGAGGATCTATCAAGGTGTCATGGCCACACGTCTTTCAAATCCACTTCTCCCCTCAAAATCCTCCGCCCCCTCACACAAAGAAACCAGGAAACTTGAGATCCAGCAAAGTGAGTATGACAGGTTTGCTTCATTTGGTGGGTTAGTTCTTGTGGTAAATATTTAACATAGTTTTACATCAGTCAGTTTGTGAAGAAAAGTTGAAAAATGAATACCTCTATCTCTGTCATCAATGCACAAAATACCATAAAAACCCAAAACAATTTACAAGCAAGGAATACAATTTTCTGACAGCTTAAACATTTATTTTAGTTATTTAGTTATTTATGTTATTTATGTTCACAGCTGTTGCTTATGTCCAACCAGGAAATAAAATCATAATCATAAATTTGACCAAAATGCTCAAAAATATAATGAAGTTAACTATATTTTAGTGAGTTGTGCATGTGCTAAAATCTTACCTGCATGCCACAGGTGTTGAAGGAGGCGTCTGCGTTGAGGTCCAGTCTGCTCATGTCCGTTAGCGTGTCCAGAGAGTTACTGTTGTGGTCTCTGGTCCTGGTCCGGGTCAGGCCTGGCTCTGTGGGCTCAATGGGGGGCTGAGGCTGCCACACTCCCACATCTGTGCCATTACCAAATGCCTGGATGGCATTACCTGCAGCACAACAAAGTCCACTGTGATGTGAGGAAACAGTTAAGATAAGTTCAGCACTATGATTCAATATGATGTAGTTTAGGGACTCAAAACTACTTTACACTCTCTAGCCTTGGCACAGTAGTATTTCACTTAATTATATGTGTGTATTCTTGGTACAATGTAGAGAAGCTTTTATCAGAAATCATCTCTGTTTTTGCGATTAAGGCACTTCGGCTCCAATCCAGAAACCATTTTATATTGAGGACGTCTTGATCACTAAAACAGAGTCCAGACGACCACAGATGAAACCTTCTCTACTTTCAACCTCTCCTGGATGAATGAAGGATCACACAATCTCATAGTTCTTGGCACATTCAAATAAAATGATTGATTGAAATTAAATAAACAAACACAAAACATTACAACATGGTTAAATGCTCAAAATAGTACACTTATAATATTGTTGACTTATATATGCAAAAAACATTTTATAGATATCAAATTTCAACAGACATGTGCTTTTATTTGCATTATTGTTAAGCCTGTAACCCTATAACAAGAAGGTCAGAGGTTTGAAACCCTAGGTCTATTGGTGTTTGTATACATGATCTGCTAGTGTTACACTGATTTGTGCTTACAGAGGCTTACAGAAGTAGTCTTTTAAAACAGTATGGGAATGAAATAAGACGTGCACTTAAATGTACGGTCATTTTGATAGTTCACAAAACTTATATATGACTAATAAAACATTTGCAATCAGTCTTTTTATAACTATTATTCAAAGTGAATTAGAGAAGTTTCATAAGATGAATTAGACTAAATTAACATCACATTAATACTAAGAGTAGGCATCTTATTCCCATCTGAAAGCTTTCTAAAGCAGCTGGAGTAGGCTGGGCTGACACACTCACGGAGGCAGCGATTGTCTGAAAAGAACTGGCTGAATCTGTCACAGTCGGGTTTGTTGTTGCCGCTGCTGCTGCAGTCGCACCAGGGTGACAGGCTGATCCCCTGGGAGCGCACGTAATTGGGTGTCATCACTGTACCTGCACACAGCAAAAAACACATCTAAGTTACATTTACTGTCAAAGTGTGGGGAGGATTTAGTTAGAACCTATGTCTTAACAAAATGAAACAAACTAGACCATGTGCAGTAATTAAACCTGCTTATTTCACCTCTAGAGGAGTACACAGTATTTGCTGTATTCTGACACTTTTCTGGTTGTACATATGTTTGTATGTTGAATCAGACCACGTAGCCTATTGTGTTGCCAGTTAAACATTTTTCCTTCCTGGTACTCATTTGATAGTTGTAGATCCCCAACCATCACACCAAGGTAACTTTAGAATAGCATTTAATTTACTGCATTATGTTATTAAGTTATAGATGACACCAAAACTTTGCCTTCACTTTGCTGGTTTGATAGTTTTGGTAAAGTTTAGCATGTTACTTCCTAGTTAGACATGGGTTGCACATGTGGGATAAGTATTATGTATGTCTAGCATTTACTTAACAACAATATAATAAACAAAGGCCCAAACTTGTCTAATTTACTCAAATGTAATGATTTGGCAAATGCATGATTATAACTTTAAAGTAAGGTTTCATAAGGCTCTGCGTTTTGGATGAAAGTTTATTGATGTAATAAACATGGGGATGTGAAGCTAACTATATGCATTACACTGTCTGAAGCTCTATTACTCAAATTAAACTTAATCTGAGCTTTATTTTAAAACAGTCTGACCAGAAAGAGCTGATTTGGTTGAAACAGATGAGATGATTTGTGCACTTAAAAAAGTCTCTCACACATAAAATTACAGTCACAAGCAAGCTCACTTTCACCTTTTTGTCGAAAATCAAACTCCTAAACTGGGCCATGAACACTCGTATTGATCACAGGCTCTTGAAAATTAAACCCATTTTCATCTTAAAACCTTTTGGACAGTATTTGCTAATGTGTGCATAGTGTCACCAACTGCTGAACATTCCGCCAATAAAGATACATGTAGAACACACCCAGCATAATTTCACTACAAAATATCAATTGTTGACATAGATCGAGGAATTTCCTGTAATTTTCAGCTTTTATTTTTCAGCTTTTTTTCACAAACTTACACTTTAAAGACTGATCAGTATATATAAATAGTAGGGCCGGGCACGTTAATGCGTTAACTTTGCGTTAACTAATTAAGTCATTAACGCCGACAATTATTTTAACGCCGTTAACGCAGTTTTTATTATTTATTTATTTATTTTATTGTAAACATCTGTTTCTCACTGGCTTTTATTTTGAAAAAGTCCACCGCGAGCGTTTCTTTAAGTTTGACATCCTTTCTTTACACTTTTTTCACTTTTTTCTGACCACGTGAGATGCAATGTGCCCGAGCCTCCGCGAGCCGCGGGCCCGGCTGCGGGTTCGGCCGCAGGCTCCGGCTCCGGCCGCAGGCTCTGGTCGTAGATTCAGCCGCGGGCACCAGCTCTGAGCTGAGCTTATTTCTTTAGTTCAGTGATGGAGTAACTGATTTACCCAGATACCATTGGAAGAAAAAATGTGATTGGTCCATTTCCATTCCATTATATTAACCCTTTGTTTCCTAAGAAATATCAGTCCAAGTTTATAACACTGATCTAGAAATTATTACTCATGTAGAGTTTATTACTCACTGCATAAAAAATATTCAATAAATATATTAGTAGTACAAACGTCCATTAAGTATTTTTTCTTGAGCCTTCCCTGAATACCTTGAAGACTCTGAGGATTCCACTGTGAAAGAAATGCTGTTTGCACAACAAATGTGTGGCTCTTTCATTTACATTTCCAATAAAAGAGCGCTATACTCTACTTTTTAATTCATTAATTGATTTTGCGTATAACATGTGATTAATTGCGATTAATCGCTCGAACTCATGTGATTAATCACGATTAAATTTTTTAATTTTTGCCCAGCCCTAATAAATAGTACTAATAATGTTTTGCCAAAATCCCTGTGCTAGTTTCTACCTTTGGAGCCTTGGTTTATGTGGTGTTTTGAACAGGTGAGAGGTGGAGCTGTGGGTTCATCCAAGTGTACCCAGTGTGAAGCCAAGTATGACTAGTGCTGATTAAAATGTCCACAGCGGCTCCCCTCCATTCAATCCTTATTATTTCGATTCAATGGGACATAATTTTGCCTCCATAAAACCACCGCGAGAGAGAGACAGGATGAAAAAAGACAGCTATTTCTGCACCTTGGATTGAAATTTGTGAACAGTTTGAGCTGGATGGGGTTGGTAATTGTGAAAAGGCTAAAAATGTAAGAGGATTTTGTGTATATGAAAATAAAAAAGTCATAAATAAGAGCTTACCGATGAGGCCAGAGTAGGACAGGAGGCAGTCTGCGTAGTTTTCTCTCAAACAGCCGGAGATGGAACGTGGCTCGGGCTGGCAGTTGCTCAGGAAATCTGCTAATCTGGACCTATGAATACAAGTGATATTTTTTATATTGCTGGAATGAAAATCACCTATAGAACATTGACAAATAAAAGTGATTATTCTTGGTTTTCGCTGGGATAAGGTTCACAAAAGCACCATATTGATCTTGTGTCTTAGAATACTATAGAAAAAAACTCTGTGCCAGTTTTTGTTACACATGAATAGACCCAGTATCCATAAATGCAAAGAAAAGTATCTGCATTTTCTAACACTGAATTCCACTTAAATTTTTAAAGTGCACGGTGTAACTTTTCTGGTGACCTGCTTCTCTCAATGTTATTGCATCGAATGGAATGTTTGACAGTACGAGATTAAAACCGAACTGGACTCTAAAGAGATAGATTTTAAAGGGACGGTTTGGAATTTTGGACATAGGGCCTCATTTCCTAGTGAGCCAGAGTGTTGGAAACATGTTGAGACACTTTTAAAAAACTTCCATGCAGTGTTTGTATTTGCAGAGGTCGCTGGTGCTAGGCTAGTGCATGTTAATGGCCATAGTTAGCCTGCCACTAAAAACACTTACCCACTCCTCAAAACACCTGAAGCAAATCTATTATTACGCCAGACTGTAAATGTCTGTGTTGATAGAATAATGTTTGAAATAAAACTAACCTTGCATCGCATGAATTGTCTCATGTTGAGGGACTATTTTCTCATATATCAATTTGCTGCTGCCAAACTTTCTATCAGGAAGTACTACTCGCTCCTGCTGCTCAGACAGAAATCCTTCAAATGCAAGGTTGGTTTTACTTCTAAAATTATTCTATTGACACAGACATTCACAATGACAGTCTGATGTTATAATTGTTTTGTTTCAGGTGCTTTGTGGAGTGGGTAAGACTGTTTTTATTAGCAGGCTAACTATGGCCATTGACATGCACTAGCCTAGCACCAACAGCTCTGCAAATACAAGGACTGGATGGAACATTTAAAAAAGTGTCTCCACATGTCTCCAACACTGAAGCAATAACATCCTCATGGCGACAAGCATGTGATGTATACGACCGTGAGGGCTACACACTCAAATAGAATATAATAGATTTACTAAGAGATTGGGCCCCAGGAGGATGCTTTGAGGAAAAAAGGTCATGGCCTGTGACTGAAAAGGTTAAGAGCCCGTGACATATCGTGCCCCTTTAACCACAGACTCACAGAACAGGACAGTCCAAACTTTTTTTCATAGAGGGACACATATTGAAACATTTTCCACAGTGAACAAACACAGACTGGTGTCAACACTGTGACTCATTCAAATTGGTGGTGTATATAGTTTTGACAGAGCCACTCCACCTTTAAAGGGCCCATAGTACACTATTTTCTGTTCTATGTTGTAATGTTGTTAATGTTGTTTCCTCATCACAAACAGACCTGGAGTTGAGTTTGGTTTCATTCACACATGTTTAACACACACATTCTACATATTTAGGCTGAGCTCTTCTCTCCCAAAAAAAAGTGTGTTCTACGTAATGTGACTAATAGAGATGTAACAATGACCGAAGTATTGTGAAATCGTATCGTCAAAGTTCTCACAATAATATCGTGGACCATCACAATATATTTAATTACAAGTCTCTTTGCTTAAATTAGGAGTTATGGTGCAGCAATAGCTAAAAAAAAAAAAGACAGAGGGAACTACATAGACAATGATCCTTTGCTCCATTTCAGTGTAGACTACAAAAAAAAAAAGAAAAAGGTTCTAAGCACTTTTAAGTCTTAGTTCTTTGGATTAAGTCTTGTCAAGACATTTTAAGAGAAAAAAGTACCATATTAACAGTTTTGTTTTCCAATAAATATCATACCGTGAGATGTATATCATGAAAATATCTTATCGAGAGATTTGGACATTGTTACATCCCTAATCGTGAGCCTCCCCACGGTATCGCAATAAATATTGTATCGTGAGGTTCATACTGTGACAATATCATATAGTGAGACTTGGATATCATTACATCTCTAGTGACTACAAGTGCTCCTCTGTGTTTTTAAACACCATACACCTTCACTAGAACCATCTGGATCATTTCAGTCCTGGACTTGTCAATCTCTACTGAACTAAAGGTAAAAGGTATCTGTTAACTTGATATCACAAGGTGGATGTATTTTTTGTTTGATATTTTTTGAGAGAAAAGCTCAGGCTAAATATGCTCTACACCCTAGACAGATTTATAAAAAATAAGGATTGGAACATGTGTGAATGAAACAAAACACAAATCTGTGTTTGTTTTTGACGAGATAACAACATAACATCTATTAAAGAGTCAATCTTTCGCACTATAGGACCTTTAATAAGGCCTGCACATTAATGTAGGTCTGTGTAACAATGCGATGTGATGCAATGTGATGTTATTTTATAGTTGGAGAATCATCCAGTTTAGTAGAAGCCATTAAGACCAACAGAAATAGGTCTGAGGGCCACAATTGATCCCCAAACCACAGTTTGGACACCCCTGCCATAGAATGTTGATTACACATGAAAGCAGTCAATGAACATGTCCAAAGTGTGAACAAAACCAGACCAATGATTTATTATAAATCTAGACAAAATCTTCTTGTGTGTCGCATCTCATCTTGTGGGAATTGTCTGATCACAAGATTTATATTTTCTTATTATGTCAGCGCATGAAAAAGCCTTGATTTATCAGACCTGCAGATGTAGTTGGCCTTGCAGGTGTTCTGGAGGGACAGACAGTTGGGCTTGTCCTTGTCCTCATAAGAACACACAGGCACAATGGTCTGCCTGCGACGCTCTGCACACGCCGTCTGATCCCCTGCTGGACACGAGCAGAACAGCATGCCATAGCTGTATTTGGTGGGCACCTGCTCACCGCACAAAAGAGACCGACAAGAAAGCCACGCATTAGTCACATCAAATACACCCAAATTAGTCTAAATAAAAACACGTCTCTTTTATGAAGTCTTTGATAGCTGACAGAGGTGTTTGAATCACAAAGTGGGCAATTACCTTGTCAAAGAAGTGGCGCAGGGCCTTGTGGCATTTTCGCTTATTGCAGACCTCGGACGCGGAGACTCTGCTGGTACAGGGGTTGATGTACGCCGAGCGGTACTTCTTACACGTATCATTCAGGTTACACGCTTTGGCTGCGCTCAGGCAGTTGTTTTCCTTCGCGGAGGGAGGCTCAGCTAACACACAAGAGGAAAGCAATGCCAGAATAATTAGCATTGTAGTATTATGTAGGATTCTAGCTCCTGTTTAGGAAAGGGCGTGCAGGTTAAACAGAGAGGCTGGGGTTGAAAAATGAGGAGAGTGTAACTGAGTACACACAAAGAGAAAAGGGGAAAGAGAGAGAGATGACAAAGTTACATAGTGTTTTGTATGTGTGCAGTGTAATCAAGTTATAGGTAGTGACTACTGATATTGCTCTATTGTTCTGTTGATATTATATTATGACATTAGCAACAAACACAGTGGAAGCTACTGAGGTTTCCAGTAGTAAATGAACAATTACATTAGGAGTTGTCACAGTTAATTAATATAAATGCTTTTGGCTAAAACAATGAGTGAAAATAGGTTTGCTGGAAGTCCAGCAATTACCCTTTAGCAGTGTTGGGAAGAATACTGTATTTAGTTACAAAATACTGAATACTGAATACCCCAATTAAAATGCATTTTGAAACGTATTCTGATCCATTGTCCAATCAGAATGCTGTATTCTGTAAACTTGAAATACTTTTACATCATGTTGCATTATATTATAGTGACAAAACAGTCATAGCACAACTTTATTTTAGTTGTTATGCATTAATTTGTGTCTAAATAGAGACAAAAACATGTACATGCCCACACTGCAAGAGCTGCGTTTCCTATTTTTTCACAAATACTCTGCAGTTTAAAGCCAAGTATTCCTTTGATTTTAGAAAAGTAACTGTATTCTGAATACCATCAAATGAAGGAGTAACTGTACCGAAATAGTTACAGGTACATGTATTCAGTTACTTCCACTGCTTCACTGCAAAAAACAAAATCTAGTCAAGTGGAGTTGACTTGAATCAAGAAAGGTTTGTCATGATTTGAGTAAATTTCACTTGACAAGTAAAATGATCTGCCAGATAGATCTATCTATCTATCTATCTATCTATCTATCTATCTATCTATCTATCTATCTATCTATCTATCTATCTATCTATCTATCTATCTACCTTTTAGCCAGATGCTCTTTCCTGACATCACATCCCTAAGTGCTCGAAACTCCTGTGTTTGGATTACATAAAGTTTCGGTGCCCTTTCAACTAATTAATTTAACAAAAAGTATTTAAACTGAACACTAATAACTTGTTGTACTTTATACAATAATACCCATAATTAACTGAAGTATTACACACAATACCAAACAGAAATCTATTGTAAAGCCTGCATGCACACCTCTCCTCAAGGTGACTCCTCTTCTTCCACAACACCACAACTACACAACTCAAACTAACACACTGGCTCATTTTGGAGCTCTAAAGCTGTTATTGCTCCTCTGATTGTGGTACTAACGCAAGTGTAGCCTTAGCCGTTAGCATGGAAGAGTGCATTTGGTAATTGTGACGTCTGAGGAGGAGAAGGAGCTCGGTACAGGCTCTGAGCTCCGTAGAGTGATTACATTTGAATGGAGTCTTGAACCATGGGTTAATCACACATTACCAGAGCCATTACTTACACGTGACCGGGGCCTTCAGATCTCCTGCTGTGTTAGACTCAAGGGGCGAGCCTGTGACACCCTATGTCAGTGGTTCCAACACATAATCGTGCTCTTTAAATAGGCTATTCATTAAGGATATAGGCTGAATATATGACGTACTGAAGCAATTCAAGTTCCCAAGTGCGTGTATTTGCATTTGAGCTTGTCCTCTCTGATAATAGGCCTGTCACAGTAATTACTATATCAACTTATCTTTCAGTGAATTACAAAAGGAATATTATTTTTTGGAAGAGCAATGTTTATCGAGACGTTTCTGTTGTTTTTCTGTTCTGAGGGTTGAATAAATGACTTCTATGACTCATTATAAATACAGACCAGTGTTGGAACGCACTTTCTACTACACATTTTTTAACAGGACTGAAAAGTAAAAGTATTATTTGTTATAGTTGGAAATCTGCTGAAGAGGCTGAGGATGAAGAATCAGAGGTGGGACCAAGTCATTGTTTTGCAAGTCTCAAGTAAGTTTCAAGTCTTTGACAAGTCAAGTGAGATACAGGCCTACAATACATGACTGTCAAATACAGTCAAGTCCAAGTCGAATCTCGAATCACTGGCCCATAAGTCCAAGTCAAGTCCAAGTTGTCTGTTTTGAGCTTCAAGTCATTTCAAGTCTTTAAACCAAAGTACCAAATATAATATAACTTCAGTTTTTGCAATTTATATGACTTAAACTAAACTGTACTTAAAAAGTCATGGTATATTTATATATGAGTATTTATAGAGTATATAAGAGTTGAAGAAATTCATTTTGTTAATTTTCCTTTTTAAATGTTTTGACAAAATCTTAGTGTGAATCATTGTGGTCAGAATAGAAAGAATCCTGATTTAAAAATGCTTCTCAAGTCTTCTCAAGTCACAGGCCTCAAGTACCATTTAAGTCCCAAGTCACTGACCTTCAAGTCCAAGTCAAGTCCCAAGTCTTAGTCCATTTTATCAAGTGAGTCTCAAGTCGTAAAGTAAAGTCATGACTTGCAAGTCTCCACCTCTATAAAGACCAAAGAAAAATATACGGATAAAAACTATTTGAAAAAACAATCAATTCATTTGTTTCTACTGAACAAAATTCAACAGCAGTCTTTATTAAAATCACTACATTTGAAGCGTTATTAGAAAATACTTACTTGCTTTTTAATCTTTAAGTGCATTTTTTAATGGATACTTTCATCATTTTATTTTTTCTTAAGTCTAACTTTGCTCTGGTATCTGTACTTTCACTTAAGTAACAAAATTGAGCACTTCTTCCACTACTGCTTACATCTAAAGTGTTTCATTCTAATATTTATTTATTAGCAGTTCGTTTAGCATTTGGAGAGAATAAGCCTGCTTTAGGCAAATTCCAAATGCACCTGTCGATTAGAGAAATGTGTGTTGGCAAACTGACAAACTGGAGATACACTACAAATTAGACTCCTGTTTTGGTTGGTTTTAAGTTCTGCCCTGAAGCGAGGCCACCACGGAGCACGTCACATGATGGTACCTGAGGGTAAAGTGTGGAATCTGACCTTTGACCTATTCACCAATACAATACAATAACACCAACAGAATGAGCCCAATTATGGTGTCCTCTGGGAGTTTTTCTATTTGACACTGTTCAGGAGTTTCAGGCAGTTTATTCAGAGTTTATTCTTTCCTGATTTTAGTTTTTAGTAGAGACCTTTCCCCATTCAAAATATTTAGATTTGAATTACGTGATCTGAATTATGTAATTGCCATGGCGACAGAGAAGCATTGCCATAGCTTGGGACCAATAGGAGAAAGTCACTATACATTGTTTTAAAGGTGCATTGTGTAACTTTTCTGGTGGAGGGTATGCTGCATTTTTTTTCTTTAGGAAGATGCTATTGCTTTGCTTGGTATGTTCCATAGTAGGGCATTAAAAGTCTATTCGGTCTTATTAAAGGTGATTCTTTGTTCAGAAAGAAAAGATACTCAGTACACCTTTTTGTATTGATGCATATTAGTTACTTCCAGGTGAGACAGGTTTTAGTGGTTTAAAATAGACCTATGTTGCACAAAAGTTTCAATACAGTACAACACAATACAACAAATATATAATACAGTACAATACAATGCAGTAGTTCTCTGTCTTTAGTCAGTGGATTCGCCCACAGCCATTCCCAGCACTGTGCAGCACAACTCTGAGGTCACACTTTTCTCATAAGCCCCTCCCTGTTCCAGCAGTGTTCAGACTCCTTCTTCTGTAACCCAAGAACTATGACTATGTATCTACTTATTGATCCATACAAAATCACCACATAGCGGTCCTTTACTGCGGTGTACCCAAGGCTGGAGTGTACAAATGTACACCGAATCTATGGCACCGTCTTTTGTTACATGTTTATCCTCCGTCTGAATGCACAGGACCAGCTAATGTAGAGTCTGTATACGGAGAAAGTGAAATATGTGCTGCCAAGATCACTAAATCCATCCAGGAGTCAAGATGAATTTATAAAGTGTACTTATGTAATTAGCTAAATCAGAGTTGGCACAATCAGACATTTTCTCATCGGGTATTAATTAAAAGTGGTGCAGTGACCTCAGCATATTGTCAGCAGGTCTGGACAAAGCACTATATTTGGGCGTTTTGAAATTAGTTTAATTTGAAGTAACCATCTGTCATGAAAATAGAGGAAGCAAAGATTACGATTTTATGAGCTTTAAATATTACTGTTGTCTGGATACTGCTCAAAATAAACTAAAAGTACTTTAAACTATCTTTTGAGTTAATTGTATAACTGATTAACTTCTATAAATATATTGCCAATAGAGACCTGCTGAATTTCACATGTAACCTTTCTGGTCAAGAGGCCATTACCTGCTTCTTCCCATGGAGATGTTACTGCCTCACATGAAATATTCCACTATAAAGCATTCCTTCAAAACATTAATTCCTAGTGGGGTCACCGCTCACAGATTTGACCTGTCTCCATGGAGGTAGATTATGTTAATGGATACTGTGGGACATTCCAAGCAAAGCAACATTTTACTTGAGATTATCAGGTGACAGACCTTCTACCAGAAAAGTTACATAGTGCACCTTTAAAGGGCCCATATTATGCTATTTTCTGACCAATGTTATGTTATTTCCTCGTCAAAAACTTACCTGGGGTTGTGTTTCGTTACATTCACACATGTTGAACACAAATCCTGCATATTTGGGCTGAGTTCTTTTTCTCAAACAAAAACACAGTTTTTCATCTTGTGATTTCATGTGGTTACAGAAAGTGCTCTGCTGTGTTTTTAAACTCCATACATCTTCACTAGAATCATTTGGGTGATTTAAACCCTGCAATTCCCAATCTCTACTGAACTAAAGTAAAAGTTAGCTATTAACTTGAAAACTACCACTACATGACATCACAAGGTGAAATGGAGCATTTTGAGCTTTAGGGATGCAGACAGACTAATAATAATGGATTACTAAAGCATGTTTGAATG